GCTCCTGTCTTCCATGATGAATGCTACTTGAAATATGACAGCCACCAGCAATCAAGTCAAATGATTAGCAAAGATAAAAGAAACTGACCTTTTTTCGACCAGGTCTTGGTTTGTGTAATATGGTTTCCGTGCCATTTTCTAGACTCCTTGGGGTGTATTTGTCTCTTGATCTATTCACAGCCTTCACCATACCATCCTAAGAACACAACAATATTGATAGTTAATATCCAATAAACAGGTTCCTTACGATCACAATGCCCCATTGTTTTCGCTAGTTTCTGTTATGTGTTTACTGCACTGCATATAGTATAATAGTAACTGTGACTTCTCAACTTTTCAAAACCAGACTTTCTCGCCCAAATTTTTCTGTACTTTTTTTTTCTTATATTCTTAAATATTTCTGGAAATGAACCCTAGTTTTGGAGCCAACAGACAAAATTTGAGCCAATTTTCAGTTTTTTTTAATTTTTGTCCCAATCTTCTGAAGGATAGTGCACACTACATGTACAAAGAGGACTATTTTGTTATTTTGTGATGAAAACAGGTGATGCAATTGTTAAAGACCCCTGACCCCTGACCCCTGACCCCACCCAGCACGATTTGATGACATGCCATTTTATGGCATTCACAAAAGTCACTGTTTTGATTGACCCTCACACAAATTTTCAATGTACAAAGTTAGCGATTTAAACTAACTCACAAAATTCATAAAATTTTGTCTTTCGTGAAATTTACCAGTAAGCAGTTTACAATATTTCACAGCAACTATGATTTACGATTTTCACTTATCCATTACATTTGTAAAAAAATTTCTATTGCAGAATTAAGTTGCTTTACAGAAAATTCCTTATATTTTTTATTGAACAAACAGATTTTTACAAGAGCATACCGGTACTATGCACGCATGTATGAACATGTACAAATAGGAGTAGGCATATTATCATTCGTCAACAAGCATTTAATTATTAATGAATCAATTTCATGTAAACAATTAGTAATTTATTTTAAGGAATTTATCTGTGTTTCTCTTTATTGATGCCTGTTTCCATCAAAATTATTGGTAAATACCGATAACACCAAATACTAGTACACGGCAAGGTAAATACTATGGTAAAATCAAATTAAATATGTGTACGTACGTGACCCAAACCAATGCTTATTTGCATAATATTGTTAACTCTTAATTGTCTTTTTTTACAATGTTTTTTTTTGCCCATCTTTGAAATAGCAAATTAATTCATAAAAACAGTGTACTGTGATACATGTCTTTAGCTAGCATGTTATTTTAGTTAATTTAGCTAATTCGTAATTTTGCTATTAAATCCAAGACGTTGTTAATTTAAAGTTAAGTACGATTTAGTTACTGTGGAATACTTTATTTTCGCTGGAATTAATTTTCGCTGAAAAGGCTTTTTGGGCATTTTGTATGGAATTTATTTTCACTGATTTTTGAAATGATGTGCAGCTAGTCCAATGTGTTTACAGTATTTTTGCCAGTAGCTACATATGGAAGTCGGACACTTTAGAATATATGATAGGATTATACATATACCATACTGACACTGGGCATGGTATTTACATAAATTAATGTATCAACAGACGAGTTTTGAGTTGCTTACATAACTGAGCAATGTATGACAGAATGGAGACATTGCCCCCCCCCCCCCCCGACATATCTTACAGTATATGGTATATCGATACCAAAATGTTATAAATTTCATTTCAACATTTGAGTATGAAGAAAAATAGTTTCTCCGAAAACTTTCAAAGGTGATATGGACGCTTATAATATGAAATCAACATGTGCAATACAAAACTAAAGCAGATGTACTAAAACAGCCTTGATGAACAGAAGTGTCCCCTTGTCAAACAACCCTCACCCCACCCCACCCAAATAACTTATTTTTAATTATTGATAATACCGTAATTGCAGTTTTTGGCTTATGCTTTTTTATTGGAGTTGCGCATCTAATGGAGCAAATGCAGTTGTATGTGCACACCTTGCAACAACTGAACATACCATCTGATTCAACAACCAAGCATTGTCACAGAAATTAAGATTTTTTTTTCTTCTTCTGTGAAATAATTTACAAAAGACTGACAGTGTATTTTGAATAATATTCAAGCTTTGAATATAGATTATCCCATTGACGTAAACTCACCACATCTTTTACTACGCACACAGACAGGTAAACCCTTATCTATATCAACTCACTGAGTGAAAATCAATCAAATACAATACAAAAAAAAAAAAATATCCCTATGGACATGGAATTGGATACCTTCTGCACAAGAGTCGGAGTAAATTGTTGTTACACACACACAAGCCACAGTTTTAGATCTGACAAGCAACAAGATAATCCCGACAGATAACAATCCTTTGTTGAGTATTAAACATAGCTATGTGGGTAGCCGACATAGCGTAGGGTGCCCACACTTTGAACAGATTGCAGATTAAACTGTCCTGTATCACCAAACAAGTCATTTTTTACTCTGTGATAAATACATGTATTGAAAAGAAAACAAGTGTTTGCGCATATATTATTATAACTTGTCTACTACACTTTATTTTGTTTATTTTGTTTGTTTATGTTCGCTCTTTTTTCTGAAGCGATGATTCAGTTAAAAATAAAATCGAATATACCTTTTTTTTTATATTTTACATTCAACTCATGAAAAGCTATGAAAATAAACTCCATACAAAACACTCAAAATGTCTTTTAAGCGAAAATTAATTCCAGCTAAAATAAAATATTTTACAATATTTATTTTTAACATTGTACAAATAAATTTCAGTTAACCCATTGACAGGTATTGACATATTGTGGAATACTTTATTTTCGCTCGAATTAATTTTCACTGAAAAGGCTTTTTGGGCATTTTGTATGGAATTTATTTTCACTGATTTCTGATGAGTTTAATGTGAAATATAGAAAAAAAAGTATATCCGCTGGATTTTATTTTCACGGAATCATCCCTTCAGCGAAAATAAATTATTTTACAGTAGTTGTTAATGTGTTTCACAGCTTATCTTGTCTTATAAAGATTGCTGATGACTTGTTAGACACAATTTGGGGAACCTTTTCTCATGGTTCAGCAACATGCATCGTGACAACTTTTTCTCGCACTAGGCTTAGACCAGGTAATTCATTTTCACAAACAGCGCCATCTACAGGCAACACTAAAACAAGGTAGCACGAGTAGTTACTCAAAACAGGGGCATGCACTTGTTATAATTGTTTGCATTTTTGCTGCACTTTTTTTCTTATATTTTTCAATATGTCTGGAGATAAACCCTAATTTTGGAGACAAAATTTGAGTCAATTTTCAATCTTCTGAAGGAAAATGCAGACTATAAACGGGAAATTTTGTGAAATTGTGATGAAAAGAGCCAAGCTGTTTATATCTTGGAAGAACACAGTACACGTTTCCTCCACTGAATTTCAGACTCAAGAATGATTTCCTTGTTATAGGCTAAACACACACAGTCTACACTAAATATTTCAACATGTTTTAATAATGTAAATAATTCTATATTAAAAGATTTATAATGAAACAAATTCTAACATTTGTCAAATTAGATGTTTATTATTACAGTAAAATTGGTATTAGAAGCCGCATCCCTAATAGAAGTCGCACCCATTTTTTTTGAACAATTGAGAACCAAAAATTCATCATTTCTCATATGTGTAGAGGCTCTAGAAGCCACATCCCTTCTGTTGTATTGTACCATTTTAATAGAAGCCGAGGCTTCTAATACAGATTTTACAGTATTGCTAATTTTTTATTTGCACATTGACAATACAGACTCTAAAATCATGATGAGGATAAAAAAAAACTATCGTAAAACGTCAAGCAAGTTCAATTGTTGAATTTTGTCCCAAAGCAAGCATGCCAGGGTGACAAGTGCACATGTACTTGCTAAAACCAGTAACAAAAGTGTAAACTGCGTGTGGATGTATTTCACAGTACAACATAATACAAAAGAATGTTTACTTATCCCCACTGTCAATGTTGACATTTGTATCTCTTTCATATGAATGTAAATTGAACAACTGTTCCATGTTAAGCCCACACCGCAGACAACCTTCTATAATATGATGCGACTGTTGCAATCGTGGCAAAAACATGCGATTGCCACAACACACGACATGTGACAAGAGTGGTGACTAGTAGCGCCACGCACGCTGGTAAAACATAGTACATAAGCTTTTTGTCTTCATCTGGTTTAAAATCCCACTGTCTGATTGGGACACTCTCGCGATGCGAGGAGACTAGCAGTGCAGACCACCCAATGCAACTCAACACACGACACAATAAAACTGAACATATTAGAAGTCCATGAAGTGACAGAAAAACCAGTACCCTGTACCAAGTGCAGACCACCTTCTATGACAGTCACATCACATAACACTACATTGCATCATAGAGGGTGGTCCACTTGAGAGGCTTGCATTAAATCATCTTGGGATAAATCTTTATACCGTACATTAAAGAGTATGTTTGGTATCTCTATATTTTATGTTACTTGCGATTATTTACAAATCTTTTTTTTAAAATCACTTGATAATAGATGCTCAAACAAACCATAACTGCTAAACTGATGAAGTATGAGCTCAGATAAAAAAAAATTCACTCATGTATAAATATTGAATTTCCTTTCTTTGTTCGTTTGTTTGTTATTAGGGGTTGACCACCAATATCTCTGGGTGTGGAGATGATAGAAAAACTGTGCACATTGATTTTTTCTTCACACAGTGTGGTACTTTTGAGTTTTGCCTCAAATAATTTGCCTCTACTATATTGGTTTTCTGTATCCCTCCCCTAAGTACAATTTTTTTTAAAAAAACAGTTCTTATTTTCTAAATCTAACATCACATTCCAAATGGTAAACCGCTTTACTGATGGTTTTCTTCCAAGTTTATTATCCACTACCGAATAAAGATAATGACAAAAAAAGAAAAATCTTGAAAAGTCATTTATACACAATCTCAATTTTTGTTGCAGTTTAGAAATAATCTCAAAATGAAAAAAAGTTTTTTCGAGACGGAGCTTTACATTGTAAAGTACCGAATAATTAAAACTTTCTGATTAAATTTGACAAACAGGTGTAAAAAAACAACAGGCTGTCACTGAAAACAGTACAAGGTTGAATATGTACCACTGATAAAAGATGTTGCATTTATTACATTTATA